GGTAGAGGCCAGAAAAAACAGTCCCTCCACCAGCCAGTTGTGGTCTGTGTAGATTCTCTCTAAGCTCTGTTTTTAGTTATGTGCGCGGTATAGGAATACATTCCCCGTGGAAAATGAAAGCCTTCCAGTTAGGATAACATTCCCTCTGGCTCTTGTCATTCTGGAATCTCTCCTCCCAGATCTTTATTCCGTGCATGTGTGTGCTCTTCGGAACTGCAGACAGCTGTGGTTCAGAGCACAGCTCCAGGGCCAGACTGCCCGGGCTCACAGCCTGGCCTTTCGTCTGTACGGTGGGGCTGGGCCCAACAGTGTCCACCTTGCAGGGTGTGAGTTGGAAGGAAGCAGGTATGTGAAGTGCTTGGAGCAGTGCCCGGCATCGAGTAAGTCCTCTCCCAAGTGTTAGCTGCCGCTGTGGCCTTGCTGGTGTTATCTGGGGCCTGCGGTTGTGGACATCATCTCACTGAGATATCACCGCACGGCTTGCTGTTGGAGATCTCCACCCCCCCACCCCACCCCCACCCCCGCCCCCGCTCCGCCGTCAGTGTGCATGGGCCACCTCCCTCCCCCTCCCGCCTGCTGCTGTGTAGTGGTCCCTGGTGTGCCTATCCATATTACTGACATGGCCACTTGCTTCCACTTCTTCATAACTACCAACCATAGATGACAAGGAGTGTGGATCTATTCTTTACATACACTCCCAAGAGAGTCTGTAGGGAAGCTAGCTAAAAGCGGAATTAGGTAGGCAAGTTTTTCACTGGAAACTTACTCTTTAAAAGGGGGCTCTACCCATTTCCTCTCTTCTGCCTATGGATCTGAGAGGTCCTCTTTCTCCCATATGCTTGGCAACACTCAGTGTTCTCTCCCCACCCCCAATCAAAGGGTAGACATAGTTGTCTCTTGGTCATTTTAGTTTGCATTTCCCAGCTTCTTTTTTTTTTTTTTTTTAAGATTTTATTTATTTGACAGAGAGAGACACAGCGAGAGAAGGAACACAAACAGGGGGAGTGGGAGAGAGAGAAGCAGGCTTCCCACGGAGCAGGGAGACCGATGCAGGGCTCAATCCCAGGACCCTGGGATCGTGACCTGAGCCTAAGGCAGACACTTAATAACTGAGCCACCCAGGCCCCTCCCCCTTTTTAAGTAATCTCTACACCCAACATGGGGTTTGTACTCACAACCTTGAAATCAAGAGTTGCATGCTCCTCCAACTGAGCCAGCCAGGCGCCCCCAGTTCATATTCTTTGCTCATTTTTCTCTCAGGTTATTTGTCATGTTGATTTACTAGTAGTTCTTTATTTGTCGGGGATACTGATCCTTTGTAATTATAAACATTTTCTTTCTGTCTGTCACTTGTCTTTAAAATTTTTTTCTTTTGAGATCTAATTCACATACTGTAAAATTCACCCTTATAAAGTATACAGTTCAGTGGTTCTCAGATATATATGTCTTTTAACTTTGTGCTCTTTCATCTAACACAAGTTTTTTAATTTTTTGTGTTTTTAAAATTGAGATAATTGCTATCTAACATCAGTTTCAGATGTACAAGGTAATGATTCAATTTTTATGTATATTGCAAAATGATGACAAGAAGTTGTTACCATCCCTCACCACATATAGTTAGAATTTTTTTTCCTTGTGATGAGAACTTTTAAGATTTACTGTCTTGGCAACTTTCAGATATACAATCCAGTATTATTAAGCACAGTCACCATGCTGTACAGGAAGATTTTAATTAGCTAAATTCGTATTTTCTTGTTTTGTTTCTTTGGCTTTTCATGTTTTTTATTTTAAAAGGGACTCTGCCGGGGCGCCTGGGTGGCTCAGTCCGTTAAGCGGCTGCTTTCGGCTCAGGTCATCCTCCTGGGGTCTTGGAATCAGGCCCCACATCTGGCTCCCTGCTCAGCAGAGAGCCTGTTTCTCCCTCTCCATCTGCCTGTCACTCTGCCTACTTGTGCTTTCTCTCTGTCTCTCTCTCTGTCAAATAAATAAATAAAATCTTTTAAAAAAATAAAAAATAAAAAATAAAATAAAAGGGGCTCTGCCCATGGGGCACCTGGGTGGCTCAGTTGGTTAGGTGTCCAACTCTTGATCTCAACTCAGGTCACAATCTCAGGGTCGTGAGTTCAAGCCCTGCATTGGGCTCCACACTGGGCATGGAGCCTACTTAAAAAAAAAAATAATAAAAATAGTAATAATTAAAAGGGGCCTGCCCCAAATCATCAATACAGTGATAATAATTAAAAGGGGCTCTGCCCCAAATTATAAGTATAGTTTTAAAAATATTTTCTTTAGTGTATTTGCATGCCCTTAGGACTTAAAGCTGAAATTTGTTTTGGAGAACCACACAAGATGAGGGGTCCAACTTTTTTTTTTTTTTTTTAAGATTTTACTTATTTATTTGTCAGAGAGCACACAAGCAGGGGGAGCGGCAGGCAGAGGGAGAAGCAGGCTCCCCGCTGAGCAAGGAGCCCAACGCGGGACTCGATCCCAGAACCCTGGGATTTTGACCTGAACTGAAGGCAGACATCCAACCATCTGAGCCACCCAGGCGTACCCCAACTTTTATTATTCTGTAAAGATTAGCCAGTTGTTTCCAAACTATTTACTCAACAGTCTGTCCTTTCTTCGTTGACTTGAAGTTCCATCTAATTCCTACATGAATGGGACCTTTTCATTCATTCAGCAGCTATTTATTGAGCGCCTGTAACACACCAGGCAGTGTTTTAGGGGCCCGGGACAGATCAGGGAACAGAACGAAGATGCTTGCGAAGCTCCACATTAATCGTTCCAGGACCTGTTCGTTCCTCCACGAGCATCAGACTTGGTTTTCACATGTTTTCTTATGAGGGCAAAACCCCCTCTTTTGTTCTTTTTAAAAATCGTCTCGGCTCTTTTGGGTGGGTATTCTTCCATGTGAATTTTGGAATCCGCTTAGTAAGACCCACGAGCAACCCCGGCCGACTTTTTGCCCGTGTTGCCTTCAGCTCAGAGATCACTTGGGGGAGTCGGTGTTTTTACAGCGTTGCGGTCCGGCCACAGGTGGCTACTGAAGTTAAAGTTCACTGAAACTTAACACGAATCCAGTGCCTCTGGCGCCCTAGCCACGGTGCAGGTGCTCACTGGCCACCCGTTGGCCGCCGTGCCTGACGGCGCCGATCTAGCACAGTTCGGTCGCCGCCGATTGTGCTCATGGACAGTGCTGGTCTAGAGCACTGAGGGACAGTCAGCAGCAGGTCTGGCTCCACTCGGGGTGTGGGGCAGAGTGGGGTGGCTGGCCTCCAGTGGCAGGTGCCAGTGGACTCCATGTGAAATTGCCCCCTGCCCACCAGGGAGGCTCCGGGGCTGGGAGAGTGCACCAGGCTTCCTCCCGGCTCAGCCCTCACCACCTCCCTTCCCAGCCTCCCAGCCCGGCCCGCACCCCCGACTGCCTCCCGGGCCTGCCCGGCCCCCCACCTCCTTCCAGGAGTAGGCCTTCCCGACAGAGAACAGTCAAAGGTAACGGCAGTGGCTGATAGTTCCATGTGCTTAGCCTGTGCCAGACACTGTTCCACAAGCTGTCTTGCTCTAAGTCCCGTTCTCCTGGGGGATAGAGCCTCTTACTAACCCCATTGTGCAGACAGGTAGACGGAGGTCCCACGCGGGCCACCTGCCTGAGGTCACACAGCCAGCGGGGTGGGCAGGCTAGAACTCCCACCGCCCCACCGGCTCCAGTGTGGGAACGGCCACTGCGCCTGTAGCCGCATGTACCCCCATCAGCTCACTGGGCCACGGGGGTAAACGGAGAGCTCAGGAGGCAAAGCCACACCACCCACGGGAGGCCGCATGGCCCTGGAGCGGTGGTCCTTGGGCCGCCACAGTGGCAGGAGCCTGGGTCAGTACCCCCATAGCCCTGATGGGGCCCCCCCTTCCTGTGCTCCACACACATGCTCAGGGACACGGGCCTCAGTGCGTCAGTCACCTCTTTCATGCCCCTCTCGCTCTGGCAAAAGCCCAGGTGACTGTAGCCCCAGGCAGCCTTGTCCCAGGTGGACCAGGCCAGACTTCTCCCACCTCTGGAAGAGTGTGCTCATCCCCAGAGCTGCCCTCGTCCATGAGTGATTACCTCGTCTCTGAGGGGCATGTAAGGTAGGGCCTCAACAACCACTCGCTGTGATGGTGTGCTAGGACTCTTGGCTTGAGCTGGGAGCTGTTCAGGGGGGCCCCTGGGGTCCCTTGCAGCCCAGCCTCCCTCCCACCTAGGGCCCAGCCCCTGGGGCCTGCCGGGTGCCCCCCTGCCTGTCATTCCTTTCTGCAGGAGGGAGGCGGAGAGCCCTGGTGTGAGTCTGGGGTGCTCCGAGATTTCACCCTTCCTGCATCCTTGGGCAGTCAGCTGCTCTCTACCTGCATGGGAAGCAGGCTCAGAGGCCACAGAGCTGGGCCGGCCTCTGTCAGTGAGCAGCAGAGCTGGGGGTGGGCTCCCGATCTGCTAGCCCCAACTCTGTGCTCCTCACATGTGAGGTGTTTCTTGTGAGTAATGAAAATACCAATGACAGCAGCCAGCCCATATGAACATATCAGGTCCCAGGCACTGTGCGGAACACTTCATGTGCGTCAGCTCACTGAATCCTCACAGTGACCCTGTGACACTTGGCTCTAGGGAGCCAGGGCTCAGAGAGGTCAGGTGCTAGCTCGAGGCCACAGAGCCAGACATGCTGGCTCCAGGGTTCCGGTGAAAGATCAGCTCTCTCTGGAGCACTTTGAGCTACTAAGAAGGAGGCTGGGTTCCCATTCCCCTGGACATGAGCTACCCATCCAGCCCATGGCCCTCACCACCCTCACAGCCCTGGGGGTCCGTGGCCGTGTCCTGGGTCTGGGGTGGCTGGTGCTGAGTCTCTCAGGGAAGAAAACCGTGCCAAGGCATGCCCTGCAGGGCAGACAGTCATGTTGAAGGGTAATTCCTCCACCTTCTCTCTATAGTAAGGGCAAGCCCCATTCAGCTTGCACTCCCGGCATCAGGAAGAGCTTTGTAAAAATCAGAGCTGCATGAAATACAGTCTGAAGAGGTGGTGAGCTTGCTGGCCCTGGAACTTTGTGAGCAGATGGAAGGCCGTCACTCCTTTGTAGGACACTGGGGGCATTTGAGCCTGGATTACGGAATTGAAGGGCACTTCCAGACATGCAGAGATTGTCCAAGTACCAAACTTGCTGAGTCCCTCCTCCCGTGGTCAGCTGAGACCAGTCACAGGGACGGCTCAGACTTCTGACCGCAGAGGATCTTCGGGCACCATAGGTAAACAGACCCTGTGTTGGTCTCTGTTAATCAGGGCCTTCTCCATTGCAAGTGACAGGAACCCAGTCAGATTGGTGTAAGCAGAGGCCTTACTGGTTCTGGACCTGAAAAGCTGCTGGGCATCTCCGGGCCGTTTTCCCCAGAGTCGTCTCCTGCCAGTGCCCCACCAGGGCAGGAGGCCTGCCAGCCGTCCCGGGGTCATGGTTCAGCCTCACAGCAACCCCGGCAGGAAGAGCGCTTCTCCTCTCTCGTCGGCCCCTGCTGGCTCGCTCCAAACTGCTCGTGGTGTTCGGCAGGATTCGGGGCTCTGACTTGCCAGGCTGGGAGTGAGGTCAGCCCGCGGGGTCAGGGGGACAGAGTGGGTGGGGTGGGAAATCCGGAGGCCAGCTAGATGCCAGGCAGGGAGGTGTGGACAGCCGCCCACTTGCACGTCTCTTCAGCTGCTCGGGCAACTAGAAACGACAGGAGAAGCCCGTTGTTGACATGCAGACCCCTACTGGGACAAGAGCCTGCAAAGCACTCAGCTTGGGACTCCAGCAAGTGGGTGATCCATAAGTGTGGTGCCCAGCCTTGTAACTGCCCTCCTGGAGCCCCACAAGCTCGGCGTCCCTACTGACTGCTGGTGGCCCGGGGACAGGAGATGCACGTGAGAGATGCCACTGGTGCGGTCTACACGCACTCGCCTACCACAGCCAAGTCTGAATCAGCAGCTGACGTGGAGCAAAGCCGGCCCCGCCTGGCGACCGACAGCAGGACCAAACTGTGGCCTCTTCCATTCCAGCCTGTCCTGCTGACGCCTTTCAAGGACTCTTTACAGGGGGGCCCAGAACGCAGGGGCAGATCAGGTGTGGATGGTGCAAGTGTCCCCCTTGGCACCTATTGACTCTGGGCCCCTTAGAGAAGCGAGCTGGCTCAGCAGCTGGATAGATTGGCTTTTCAGCAGCAGTGAGGGTGGGGACAGCAGAGTGAAACTTTGGGGGGCTTCTCAGAGCAGAGGAGTGGGTTGAAACTCCCGGCACGCTTTCTGTCGCCTGGCAACCTGGAGCCAAGTTATTTGACCTTCCTGTGCCGTCTTTGCCTTACGAGTCAAATACAGCTTTTGCACTGATCATTCTTTCTAGCAGGGTCCCCCTTCCCGGCTCCCGGTTCAATGCCACCTCCCCAGGGAGGCCTTTCCTGATCATCCCTCCCACCCCTTCCAGCCGAAGTACACGCCTTCTCCAGGTTCCCATGGCAGCGCTTTGGTTTAGTTCTGCTTGTTGTTGACCCTCCTTTTGGAGCCATAGGACCAACAGTATTTTTTGAAGTCTCAGAGGCATTAACTCATTGAACCTTCACAGTACCTCTGCCGTGTGCACTGTTGCTGACCCCATTATACAGACGGGAAAGCTGAGGCACAGGGAGATTAAGTAACTTGCTCCAGCCTGTAAGTGGAGCCTGGGTATGAGTGCAGGCCTTTGACTCCAGAGAACATGTTATTTCCCTCCTTTACCATGCTTTTTCAAGGTGTTTTTCAAGGATGGGGACTTTGGACCACAGGCGTGCTAGCACAACCCCTGGCCCAGAACAGGGGCTCAATAGATGTTTGTGGAATGAATAAAGAAGTGAATCCAGGGGCAGAAAGCCTGGATCTTGTCCTGCAGGGGTTGGGAGGCCCTGGAAGGTCTTAAAACAGGGTCCTGGGGACACCAGCGAAGCCATGCCTTCTCCAGGGCTTCTGTTGGGTGTGCTCTGTGTGAGCCCGGCCCTCGCTGGACCTAAGGATCGGGAGCCGGATGAGCCCCAGTCTGTGTCCTCTTCTGTGTCTTTAGGGCCTGGGGTTCCAGACAGAAGTCCCGCAGCACCCTCCTAAGGAAGGAAATGTAAGGCCACAGCTGGGGAGGAGACAGAGCCCCACCACTGTGTCTGCCTTGGGGTGGAACTAGACGCCCGGTGACCTAGTTTCCTAGCCAGACTCACCCTTCTTAGCCAGTCTGGGTGGGCTCTGGCATGCTGACACAGCCCGGGTTATTCCCCTGTGGCGTCGGCATCCGTCACTGGCTGGCCAGGGGCTGTGCTCATCAAGTCTCCCAGGGACGAGACAGCAGGGGCGTCCTTTCCAGGTGGGCTCTCTGGGTCCCTGGGTCAAGGGAAAGCGCCATCAGGGATCATGGGGCTCCCATGGGGAGTGCCACGCACCCTTCTCTCGCAGTGCATTGGCCATGTGGTCCCCTAACTGCCACAAGGGTGGGCAGCATAATGACTCATCTCCTCACATCCCTGCACCCAGCAAGTCACTGTGTGTGCCGCTTAGCAGGATCCAGGGCACGTGCCCCTTCCATCAGCATGGAGTTCTGTGAGGGAGCAGGTGGGTCGAGGACCCCTGCCTGGCAGGCCCCCCAAGAGCACACTCGGGGCCTCACTGTCCTGTCAAGGTGGGCGGGGCCAGCAAGGGCCTGACAGGCAGGGGACTCACACCATCAGATGTCCAGTGCACTGGCTGAAGAGGATGGTGAAGGCTGGGCCATTCCCCTGCGTAAAGCCTTCCAGAGGCTTCCTTTGACAGCCATATTCATCCTGACCCTGGAGCTCCCAGTCTGGCCCGCACCCCCGACCCCAGCTCCTTACCTGCACCTCCTGCCGCCACATCCCTCCTTTCAGTTGCTCAGCAAGCTCCTGGTCACTAGTCAAGGCCCAGTGAGTTCAGATTCCTCTCTCCTGTGACCTCACTTGGAAACCTGCCAGGTGGAACCAGTCCCTCCCACATCGGGTTCAGACTCGGAGCTGGAGTCATCGGGTTCAAACTCGGGTCCACGAGCAATTATTGTCATCCCTACTCTGAGGCAGTGTTCGAAAATGGCTGCTTCTCCCCACCTCCTGCCTTGTAAGCTGGATGCCTGTGGGAAGCTCCTCAAGGAGCTCGCACTTCGGACCTAGCCTTGCTCTTTACAGAGCATGGTTCCCTCACTGCCCGATTCATAACACTCTAGGGCTTCTCATTGAACTCAGAGGAAGACCAGATTCCCCCTGTGGCCTGCACAGCTCCCCTCCCCCAGGGGCCCCTACTCTCAGCTGCCCTGGTGAGTATCTTTCTGGTCCTGGATCATGCAAAACCCTTTGTCACCTCAGGGCCTTTGCATTCACTGTTGCCTCCACCCAGAAAGCTCCCTAATAACTTAGGTTACTGCCCAGGGTCACCTGCTCAGAGAAAGCCTCTGATTCACCTGCAGGAGCCCCTCCTCTGCCCTCCAGCGATCATTCAGTCCCTTTGTCTTTTAGACCAAGGATTAGAGCCTGCCATTGTAAGGTGTTCCTGACCAGCCCCGGCTCTCTGCTGTCATCCTGAGCAGTACCTAGCAAAAAGTAGACTCTGGGTACTTAATCTGTGAAGAATCCTCCTTCCTGTGGTGTGTTCCACTCCCCTGCTGCGTTCTGCTCCGTATCCTGCTGTCCGAGATGCTGTGTGACGTTGGTGTAGAAACACGGGAGGGGTCCTAGTGGGGAGGGCAGCCAGCCCCCTGGGGAAGCAGGCCGGGCCTGGATCTGGGCCCCCAGGCTGGGTGGCTGACACAGGGTGCCTGAGTGGGGCGGCCCAGCCCAGCTCTCCAGTCATGGCCACACAGGGGCACAGGCCCAGAAGTGCCAGATGGCCTGATTTTTCAAGAGAAGCCGGAAATCTGGATTCTGGTTTGAGCTCTCCCAATTTCTACATGTTGGCAACTCACTAGAATTCCTTTCGCTAATGTCGTGTAAGCGAAAGAAGAGACGTCTGTGGGCTTGCCGGGGTGACCTCTGACCTAGAAGTTGAGGAAGAGGGAAGTGGGCACGGGTGGGGCCCCTTGGGGCTGGCGTGGAGCAGGGCAGTGAGGGAGCGTGAGCAGCCGAGGGGCTGGGGCAGCTCTTGATTGGCTACCCCAGAGTCCTCGGGGAGGAATGGGGTATGTGACAGGGCTGGGGGAGCCGTGCCAGGACCCAGCTGGCCAGCAGCCGCTCCCTGCCAAACTCCTGAAGGTGATGTTAGGGTGTGTGGTTATCCTGGGGTAAAAATAGCAAGGTCACCTTGCAGTGGGAGCTCTGCTTTTGCTTGCAGGTAGAAATACAGTATGTGCTGGATGCTGCTGTCAGTCCAGAGCCGCATGGTTTATGGGGACAGGTGGATACCCACTCTCGCTGCCAGGCTGCTAGGGGATAGCAAAACACTGATCTCTACCTGCCAGGGCAAGCGGTGGGGCACAGCTCCCCTCACCCCCTACACGGGTGCTGGGTACACCGCAAGGGTTCCAGGGCTCCTCAGGCCCGTCTGAGGCTCTGGGGTTGTCCGAGGACACCTGCTTTCCAAGGGTCATACATGCGGCCCCCTCACACCACCCTGTGAGGTCAGCCAAGCCTGTACCATGCCACAGACCAGCAAGAGGACAGAGGCCCAAAGGGAGGAAAGGGCCAGCCTGGACCCCTGCCGAGCCCCTGAGGGGGCCTCCCTCCACCACAGTCTGGCCGGGCCCCATGGCTCCCAGCGCCGGTGGACTCACTCAGCCCTGCAGGGCCAGCCCAGCCCTTCCCAGAAACCCCTTTGCCCAGGAAGGGTCAACGCTGCACCTTCACTTCCTCTCCTATAAATTGGGGCTAGTCATGAGAACCTTCCACGGCGCTTTACTACACGCGTCGTTCTAGGCACCTGACTGTTAACTCAGGCAGTCCTTACAACAAAGGTAGTAGAGGTTGCTGGCAAGGTCACGCGGCCGTCAGGCTCCTCAACAGCCCAGGTAACAAGAGTGCTGGCCCCCAGGAGGAGTGTGAGAAGTTAGTGGGCGTAGGGTGCCTAGACAGCGGTGCTCAGAGTAAGGGCTCAGCACGTGTTAGAAACGGTGATCAGTGGGCGGAGGGCAGGCCAGTTTGTGTTGGGCAAGGGGTTCCAGTCTGCCTGGCAGTGAAACACAGGACAGTGACTTCTACACTGAGGGGCGTTTGGGGCAGTGCAGAACACGAGGGGGGTGGGGACAGTCCCTGCTCCAGCTGATGGCCCAGTCCCAGCCTATGCCTAGTGCAGGGTCTGGGCAGTTCTGGGTCCCTCCGGCGGACCGGGACAGGGCACCTGGAGTACCCAGGGAGGAGGGCAAGCCAGGAGGGGTTGGGGCAGCCAGGGCTGAGCCTGTCTCTCGTCCCGCCCCTAGGAAGCCTGAGAAGGGCGTCCAGTACCTCATCGAGCGTGGCTTTGTGCCTGACACGCCAGTGGGGGTAGCCCACTTCCTGCTGCAGCGCAAGGGCCTCAGCAGGCAGATGATCGGCGAGTTCCTGGGCAACCGGCAGAAACAGTTCAACCGAGACGTGCTCGAGTGAGTTCTGGGGCTGGGGGGGGTGGGGGTGTGGACCTGCACGCACGCGGTGTCAGGCTCACCCTGCTCGCTGGAACACACACCGAATCCTCCCCTTAGCTCTTTCTTGCTCCTGGACACGCACAGACACCCCACATGGTTTTGCACATCACACCCTGCCAGGCATACATGCGTGCCTCCACCCCCGGGCGCTAGAGCTCACACGCTGACCCTGCGGGGCCCCCCTGCACGCACCCTTGGCCCCTCCATCCCTCTCCAGCAGGGCCAAGCCACTACAGCACTGGGGGGTTGGAGGTCTGAGCTCAGTCCCCCAGCCTGACTGCCAACTGTCCTGACACACCCTCGGGGGCGGGGGGAGCCCAGAGAGACCCCAGTGCCTCCGTTCCCTGCATCTCTCCTGCCTCTCCTGCCTGGGAGATCTGGGGGTGAGAGTCCAACCATGGCTGGCAGCCATGGCCCTCCCAGCTACTTGCAACTCTGCGGAAAACCCTGTTTCCAGCTCCCTGGGAACTGCTGAGAGTTTTGAGAAGCACTGTCCAGCTTGTACCCCAAGTTTGCCCATTCCTCCTTGAGACTGCCCTAAGTGGAAAGGCCCCCTGCCCTGGGACCCTTGGGTTTACAGAGCAGTTACTGTGTACGGGCCCTGTGTCGTCCTCAAACATGCAAGGGTGGGTGTCGGGTCTCGCTAAGCCCCTCTCACAGAGGAGGAGCCGAAGCCGTGGGACAGGATGGAATAGGGCGGCTCAGGCCCCAGGGGAGCATCTCCAGTGAGGATATTTCTGACCAGGCAGCTACACACCGAGATGTAGGCCAGGAGCAGAAATCAAAGCGGGGTAAAGAGCGAACCACTAGTAACAAGGACAGTACCTTGCATCCGTCCAGCCCTGCCTCATCGGACGGAAGAACAAAGGCAAGGGGGTGGGCAGCGGGCCTTCTGGGGCCAGGCATGTCCGCCATAAGGAGGAGCCTGGCCACATGCGTGCCCGCCATGTCTGCACTGCCCTGGGAGGAGGTGGGCAGTTGCCCCGGCCTCTTTTTTTTTTTTTTTTTTTAAGATTTTATTTATTTATTTGAGAGAGAGAATGAGATAGAGCATGAGAGGGAGGAGGGTCAGAGGGAGAAGCAGACTCCCCGCTGAGCAGGGAGCCCGATGCGGGACTCGATCCCGAGACTCCAGGATCATGACCTGAGCCGAAGGCAGTCGCTTAACCAACTGAGCCACCCAGGCGCCCTGCCCCGGCCTCTTATACAGGTGAGGAAACCCGGGCCCAGGGAAGGGCTGGCCCGGGTCCCCCATACCCCCACACATGCAGACTCACATGCACACGTCTGTACCCATTCAGTCACACGTACACCCAGCACATGCGCAGACACACGGGTCACAGTGAGCCACGGCGTTCAGCGGCAGCTGAAGCTAACAGCCGGCCGAATGGCATCTGTGCCCTTCCTCGGCCCGATGTGCCCACCTGGGCTGCATTCTCCCTGCTTGCGTTTCTGTTCCGGCCCTCAGCGGGAAAAGCCTGCTGCATTGTTCATATGGTTAGCGCCCCTCTCCGCCTTTTAAACCAGCGTCAGGAAGCAGCTCAGGGGAAAGCAGATGAGGTCCTTAGTGAATTGGGCCTAAGACGGTCTTGGGCCAGCCCCCCACCCCCTGCAGCCATTCCTGTGCTCCCCCCAGGCTTCCCCCCGCCCCCCCCCAAGCTAGCCGCTGGTCCGTAGGAAATCCGTGCATTGTTCTCCCCCATCAGAAAATAGCAGCAGCCTCAGGAAGTAGCGATCCTCACCCCACCCCCACCCCCGACCCTCCACACCAGGCATCCAGCTCAGATGCTAGTCAGCAAATTACCCTGTGTGGCCCCTGCCCTCCCCCAGCTGCTCTGCAGCAGCCTCCGAGGATGGGGGCGCCACAGTTAATGCCCAAGCCCAGAGCAAGGTCCCTGGCAGTGAGGATTAGGCCCCGCTATGGCCGAGGCCTCTGCAGCGCCACCAGGGGTGGCCATGGCTTTGTTACAAATAGATACACTGGAAACCACAGCCTGCTGAGTGGGTCCCTGGGGCAGACCCCACCTTCTCCGTTCAGGGGTCTGGCTCAGAGGACAAGGCATGGTGTGCCGGAGGGCGAGGGCAGGGCTAGGATGAGGGGAGCCAGACAAAACCCGCTCAGCCATTTCTGCAAGCCCCGCTCCCCTTGGCAGATTGGCAGATGAGGATGGCACAGGGCCTCCAAGGTGCCCCTTGAAAGACACCCAGGCCCCTCCATGTGGGGAGATGGGCCCAGTGCACAGTCACTGCCCGACCTTAGTGGACAGCCCCGACCTCCTGGGGAAGATGGGCGGGCTGTGCCGGCATCCCTCGCAGACAGCCCGAGAAGACTCCTGCCGTCACGTGCTGTTCTGTGCCCTGGGTCATGTGCACGCT